GGAAAATCGGGCCTACTTCTGTAGAGGTACCATCTTGGAAACCCAAGGAAGGGGTCGCTATGAGTCGAATCTCCTGGACCGCAGTGAGAGTCTTCAAAGTAACATCTTTGTTCTTCAACACTTTAAAAAGGTCTTTTGCAGCAGATTTGCCAGTGCAATATGACCTCTGATTTCTGCTGACTGCATAGTGTTGATTGTAGATCCAAGTAAAATGAAATCTTTGACAACTTCAATCTTTTCTACATTTTTTACGATGCTGCTTATTGGTTCAATTGTGAGGATTTGGTTTTCTTTATGTTGAAGTATAATCCATATTGAAGACTGTATAGTGTCTTTAATCTTCATCAGTAAGTATTTCAAGTAATCTTTACTTTCAGCAAGCAAGGTTGTGTCATCTGCATATCACAGGTTATTAATGAGTCTTCCTCCAGTCCTAATGCTCTATTCTTCTTCAGATAGTCCAGCTTCTTGGATTATTTGCTCAGAATACAGATTGAATAAGTATGGTGAAATTATACTACCCTGACACACACCCCCTTTCTGATTTTAAACCATGCAGTATCCCCTTGTTCTGTTTGAACAACAGCCTCCTGGTTTATGTATAGGTTCCTGATGAGCACAATTAAGTGTTCTGCAATTCCTATTCTTCTTAATGTTATCCATAATTTGTTATGATCCATACAGTCAAATGCCTTTGCATAGTCAATGAGAAACAAGTGAACATCTTTCTGGTATTCTTTGAATTCAACCAAAACCTATCTGATATCAACAATGGTAACCCTCATTCCACATCCTCTTCTGAATCCAGCTTGCATTTCTGGAAGTTCTCTGTCAGTATACTGGTGCAACCATTTTTTAATTATCTTCAGCAAGATTTTACTTCTGTGTGATATTAATGATATTGTTCGATAATTTCTACATTCTGTTGGATTACCTTTCCTTGAAATTGGTTCAAATATGATTCTCTTCCAGTCAGTTATCCAGTTAGCTTTTTTCCAAATTACTTGACGTAGTTGAGTAAGTGCCTCCAGCATGGCATCCATTTGTTAAAGCATCTCAGTGGGTATTTTGTCAATTCCTGGAGTATTGTATTTTTGCAAATTCCTTCAGTGCAGCTTTGACTTCTTCCTTCAGTACCATTGGTTCTTGATCATATGCCATCTCTGAAATAGTTAAACATTGACCAATTCTGTTTTGTACGGTGACTCTGTGTATACCTTCCATCTTCTTTAGGTGCTTCATGCATTATTCAATATTTTGCCCATAGAATCTTTCAGTATTGCAACTTGTGGCTTAAATTTTTTCCTCAGTTCTTTCAGATTGAGAAATGCCAAGTGTCTTCTTCCCTTTTGGTTTTCTAACTCCAGGTCTTTGCACATTTCATTATAGTAATTGGCTTTGTCTGCTTGAGCTGCTCTTTGATATCTGTTCAGCTCTTTTATCTTGTCATTTCTTCCATTTGCTTTAGCTACTCTTCATTTAAGGGCAAGTTTCAGAGTCTCTTCTGACATCCATTTTGGTCTTTTCTTCCTTTCCTGTCTTTTTAATGAGCTACTGCTTTTTTTATGTTTGATGTTCTTGATGTCATCCCACAATTCGTCTCCTTTTTGGTCATTGGTGTTCAGTGCATCAAATCTGTTCTTCAGGTGGTCTCTAAATTCAAGTGGGATATAATCAAGATCATAGTTCAGTTCTCGTGGACTTGTTTTAATTGTCTTCAACTTCAACTTGAACTTGCATATGGGCAATTGATGGTCTGTTCCATAATCAGCTCCTGGCTTTGTCTTGGCTAAGGACATTGAGCTTCTCCATCTGGCGAAGTCCATGTGTATAGCTGCCATTTGTGTTGTTGAAAAAAGATATTTGCAGTGAATAAGTCATTGGTATTGCAAAATTCTATCATGCAATCTCCAGAGTTATTTCTATCACCAAGGCCAAATTTTCCAACTACTGGTGATTCGTCTTTGTTTCCAACTTTTGCATTCCAGTTACCAGGGATAATCAGCACATCTTAGTTACATGTTTGATCAATTTCAGACTGCAGAAGTTGGTAAAAATCTTCGTTTTCCTCATCTTTGGCTTTAGTGGTTGGTGCATGAATTTGAATAATAGTGATGTTAAGTGGTCTTCCTTGTAGACATATGGTTATTTTTCTTTCACTGACAGCACTGTACTTCAGGATAGATCTTGAAACATTGTTTGTGATGATGAATGGAACACCATTTTTCTTCAGTTTGTCATTTCCGACCCAGTCGATCATATAATTGTCTGATTCATAATGGCCAAACTCAATCCATTTCAGCTCACTAACACCCAGGATATTGATCTTTATGCATTCCATTTTAATTTTGAAAACTTCCAATTTTCCTATATTCATACTTTGTGCATTCCATATTTTGATTATTAATGGATGTTTGCAGCTGTTTCTTCTCATTTTGAGTCATGCTTCATCAGCAAATGAAGGTCCTGAAAGCGTTACTCCATCCACATCATTAAGGTTGACTCTACTTTGAGGAGGCAGCTTTTCCCCAGTCATATTTTGAATGCTTTCCAACCTGAGGGGCTCATCTTCTGATCACTATCTATCAGTGTTTCAGGGTTTTCATAAAGTTTTCCAATAATATATCAAACATTGTTTCACTGCTATTCATAAAGTTTTACCTGGTCAATTATTTTGAGAAGTTGATGGCTTCTTCTTTCTTCAGAGTCTGTCTTAGTCTGGAAGCTCCACTAAATGCTGTCCACCATGGATGATCCTACTGGTATTTGAAATACTGGTGGCATAGGCTTCAAGCTCCCAGCAGCATGCAAGCCATCACAGTACAACAAACCGACAGATAAGTGGTAAATAGTAACTGTTAATACTCCCTAATTAATTAATAGTACTTGTGGGAGCCATCAAGGACCTCTGGTGGCATAGTGCCTAAGGCATTTGATTGCTAACTATAGAAGGCTGACAGTTCATGCCCACCAGCCACTCCACAGAAGGAAGACTGGGCAGTCTACACCCATAAAGATTTGCCACCTTGGAAACCTCAAAGGGGTCTCTATGAGTCAGAATCGACTCTATGGCAGTGAGTTGTTTTTCTTTTCTTTTTCTTTTTTTTTTTTTTAATGGGAGCTATGAAATTCCATGGAGAAATCTGTTCATAGTTAGATTATGTTTTTAATCATTATACTTTTTATTGTGATTTGGCATAAAATTGCATTCAACAATTCATGAACATTTTGATTCCTGACTTTGATTGCAGTCCCCACCATGTAGTGACACTCTTCCTACTTCCTCCTTCTATTTACCTTTTCCATTTGTTCTTCTCTCCTGGCCCTTCCTGGTTTCTGAGCTTTATCCCTGGGCAAATACTGCCCTTTTGATCTCATATGGTTGATTGTTTAGGGAGTGCATACTTCCCTGATGTTATTATTTTCTTTATAGTGCTGTCTCTTGTTTGACTGATACTTGATCCACCAGGGTGGGTTCAGTTCCAGGCTTGAAGAGTGTTGGAGGGTGATAGTCTTGGGAATTTTACCAGTCTTATCAGACCAGTAAGGCTGGCCTTTTTATTATTATTATTATTAGTTTCTCCCATTCTGTTCAGGACCTCCTATTGTGATCCCTTTCAGATTAGTCAGCAGTGGTAGCCAAGCACCATCTAACTCTTCTAGGATTTACATGCTCCATTAGTCATTTGGACTAATTGTTTCTGTACATCTTTGATTTTTTCACTCTCTGGTTGATTGGATACCAATAGTTGCATCTTAGATGGGTGGTCACAATATAGAATGTAGAACATTGTCTTTGTGGGCTGTTTTGTCAGAAGATCTCGATGTCTCCCAAGTATAGTTAGATTACATAAATGGTGAGAGTTTACTTGAAATTGATCCTAAGGTAATTCATGGGTTCAGCAATTCTGTTGTTGCTTTCTTTCTTCCTATAAATTTTGTACTTCTTCATACAACTATGAACTTCATGATTTCGTTGTTTACTTGAGGGGACAGTGAATGCATGTTGTTATTGTTATGTGCCGTGGATTCAGACACGGACTCATAATGACCCCTCCTTGGGTTTCC